GGTCCGGACGAACCGGCAACACGCGGGGATGCTCGAAGAGAAGACTCAGCAGAAGTGGGAACCAACCCTGGCGGGCCCACCATGGCGCTATCAGGAGAACCTTGCAATGGTGGCGACGGATGTGCGCCGTCACCCTCGGAAGAAGCGACAAGGGCGGGAACGCGTACGCCCAAAACCCGTCCCATGAGATGGACAGGGCATTTACTGCCCACGCTGTTGGTTCCGGAAACCGGGAGCAAAACGTCGGACCGGGCCGGTCCCTCCCTCTACTGAGGAACCGGGCCCCCCACCATGAACATCAGGACCGAGGGCCACCCCTCCCCCGCCGCCGACGCCGTGCCCTGTCGGCTGAGGGAGCAGCCCGGGCGAATTGTCGATTGGCGGCAGGAGCAGGAGCAGGAGGGACAGCGGCTGCGGGCTGCGGGAGGGGATGCAACAGAGGCTGTTGCTGCTGGGGCTGATGTGACGGCCTCGCAAACGCCCAGCACTGGGAACGCGCTGGACGGCGGTCACGGCGCGGGAACTTAGCCCTAGTCTGACGCCGCGCTTCCAACTCCCTAGCCCAAGCCTCTTCTTTGGCAGCGAACTGGCCAAAGAAGAGGTCCTCTGCCCCAAAAGAGGGGCAGTCTAAAAACCGGTCAAAATGACCGGGGCTGACCGTCGCCGCGCCAGCAGCCTGGGTGATGGAACTGAAGTGGTCCGAAATAAGGCCAATGCCCGCCGAAGGAGGCCAATGGCGTCCGGGATGAGAGTTGGGTTAGCATCAGCGTCAGACAAGAAGGACAAAGCAAACCCCGCCCCATTCACGGCGCGAATGCCCTCCCGAGCCGCGCGGTCCACAAAGGCCAAAGCCTCCTCAGCCGCGCCCTGAGCTTTGTTAGAAAACAAAGCCTTAGAAGTAGAAGAAAGCTTCTGATCCTCCCGCAGTCTGCCCTTGGCAGCGCGAGGAATGGGCGGCGCCTGAATGAACTGCTTGAACTGGTCCTCGGGGACCGGAAAAGCAGCCGTAAGACGCCGCGGCGGCAACCGGCTTGGATTTCGCTTGGGAATTCAGGCGAAGGATGAGGTCCGGGTGGAGTCCCACAACCGGGACAGGGTGGGCGGGATGCACAGGAGCCGGCGGCCCCCACAGACCCGCCCCCAAACCACCCCGGCACGGAGTCTCATAAGAGACCTCCAAATGATCAAGGATGGGCGGCATTGCCCGGGCGACGAGCTGAGAGAGATCGGAGCCGAGGACAATTTCCTCAGATTCCGACTCCGATTCCGATGATCGGACGAGTCGTCCATAGGCGACTCACCGGCCACCCGGTACCCATCCCCAGGGACAGGAGGGGCAGAAACCGGAGAATCCGGGACCGCTGAAGCGGCCCGCATTCCGGCGAAAACCTCCCGAGCCACCCGGCCCACCTGCTCCGAAATCAACGAAACCAATGCCGGATCCAGCGGAGGGGAAGGACCCGCTGAACGCGAAGCCGACGAATCTTCCAGCGGTGGAGGCGAGTCATCCGGCGCCGCAACAACCCCCCGACGCAGCCGGCAGCGAACCCTGAGATCGAGTGGCAGCCTGAGCTGCCCAATCTAGAGCCGCCGCAAACTTAGTCGGGGGCCAGCGCGCACAAATCTCGCAAGGCTCAGCCTTGCTACACGAGCGA